CATATATACATATATACATATATACATATATACATATATACATATATACATATATACATATATACATATATACATGCATATATATATACATGCATATATATATACATATATATATATATACATATATATATATATATATATATATATATATATATATATATATATATATATATATATATATATATATATATATATATATATATGTATTATATATATATATATATATATATATATATATATAATATATATATATATATAGTATATATATATATATATAGTATATATATATATATATAGTATATATATATATATATAGTATATATATATATATATAATATATATATATATATATATATATATATATATATATATATATATATATATATATATATATATATATATATATATATATACATATACATACATATATATATATATATATATATATATATATATATATATATATATATATATATATATATATATATATATATATTATATTATATTATAGTTTTTCGATTTACCTCAAAAAACCACAACAGTCTGTTTCATCCGTATAGGAATCATCAGGTGGTGAATAATTTCGAAATTGTGGGTTGCTTTTATGCTATCGAAAGAATGTGCGGAATGCGTGTAGGCGAAACAATGCATAGGTGAAACAATGCATGCTTGGGTCATTAGGTTTTGTTAACGACCTTGTTTACTCGAAACTGGTTTTTGTGACCACATTTGCCGAAAATTTCGCTTCTTTTATTGAGAAAATTGTCTTTGTTTATGTCTTTCAAAATGCAAAATTTCCAGATGAAATTGATTGGTATGAAGGCTGGGATGATTATATACACAACGTGACCTGCCAGTAAGTTTATCTAATTGTTTTATTGTAATTAGGCCTAATAAGGTAAAACTTCAATGTCTTACTTCTCTTACCGATCAAGGATAAAAATAACATTATAATGCATGCACCGCGTACATTCTTGGGTTATAATTAAACCATTATTTTCAGTTTTATCGTATATACTATATAATTATGCAGTTCTATTTAACACATTAGAGAGAAACCGGAAAATACATGTCTTGCCGACAAAACTATGTTATTTCCTCGCATGCAGTAGTTGTCCTGGTCACACGATAATTGTATTAAGAATATTTTTAAAATCGAAAAAGCCTAAAAATTTTAATTACAAAAATTATCAATTTCCCTAATATAATATACATAATATATATATATATATATATATATATATATATATATATATATATATGTATATATATATGTATATATATATATATATATATATATATATATATATATATATATATATATATATATATATATATATATATATATATATATAAATATATATATATATGTATATATATTATATTATATTATAGTTTTTCGATTTACCTCAAAAAACCACAACAGTCTGTTTCATCCGTATAGGAATCATCAGGTGGTGAATAATTTGGAAATTGTGGGTTGCTTTTATGCTATCGAAAGAATGTGCGGAATGCGTGTAGGCGAAACAATGCATAGGTGAAACAATGCATGCTTGGGTCATTAGGTTTTGTTAACGACCTTGTTTACTCGAAACTGGTTTTTGTGACCACATTTGCCGAAAATTTCGCTTCTTTTATTGAGAAAATTGTCTTTGTTTATGTCTTTCAAAATGCAAAATTTTTCTTCCAAACATAAATTGCAGCGTTTTAAAAATAGCGTGTTTAAAAATTGACCATTTGATGGTATAATCCTGATTGCTTTCTTTTAATTTCTAAATATGTTTCGAAAGTTCCGTTTTGTTTGAGTCTTTTTTATGACAAAAAGATGAAGTGTGGTTAGCGTAACGTTCCTTAAATGTAGTCGCTGTCATACCAATGTAGTGTTTAGTGTCGTTCGTGTTGTTCGATGTGACTGTGGCTTTGTAAATAATGTTGTTGGTCATACATTGTTTCGGTAGTGGGCAAGTGTTTTTGTTGTCGCAGTTACAGTTGTTAGTTTCCGTATTCTGTGATTGACTGTTCCTAATTATATTTGCGTTGTGTTTGGTGATTATAGACTTAACGTTGTTCATGCAACTGTAGCTTACTTTTAAAGTGTTTCTGTTAAAGATCTTGTGTAGTTTGTGCTGTAGTGGGAAGTGTTTGTCAATTAAACTTAAGAATTCCCGTCCTATGTTCGTGTTAACACTCCATGGCTAGAAATCTGCGACAACATGGCCGACACGCACGCTTAGCTCCTTTGTAATGTAAATATTAAGTGAATAAGTTTAATAATCAGAAAAGCATTACGTTAACTTGCCTTTTCGGTTTTTGTTGGTCCTACAAACCAAATATGACGATTCCATAAATCGATCTTGAATGATAATCGTCGTAGCTACGTACTTGTTCACGTTTCAGTTCAAAATTCGATGCAGGCTTTGTTCCCGAAGCAAAACAATTTTGCAGTAATTTGTACATATAATCACGCGCACTTTACTAGTAATCCAGGCTATTTTCCCGACGAAACCACATAATCGCTTCAGTTTTCAGGCTGATCGTACATCAACATTGGATTTCCATAAATCGTAATCGATACACTTTGTTCTCCCATGAATTTTATCACAATTCTATCTAAAGATATTATATCAATACTGTTCCCAAGTAGAGGAAAGAATGGTATATTTTGCCTCTATTTTCCATTTTAAAATCGCCTTGTTACTTCGATAAAACGCGATGCAAGCGCATCGAAATTTTGCTTTTTTGATATTCTTGTTCGTGATTCATATAAAGGTGAGATAATATCAGCTAGTGACATAAAATATTAAATGTTGAACATAATTATGTCACTGACATGATTTACTTATCATTTAGCTATTGTCCCTTGTCCAACAGTTTTAAAAAGTCATTTAAAGTCATTTGTCTAGTAAAACAAGCGAGGAGTTCTCACTTATCGTTCTTTTTCTTTTCCGACAACTAATCAGTCGCTCGCATTTCTAGCCATGCTTACTAAATGGTGGGTTGAACCAAATTATGTTGCGTTGCCTATTCCTACGTGCCCGTTGCGGTGCATCATGAGTGTACGTAAATTCATGATCAAAGTTACTATGTCTAAGAGCGTTCTGGTAAATAGGTGTAGATTCCTTAAATGTTTGTTCGTCCGTTGAGAGAAGTGCAATGCGTTTGTTCATAGCTGTAGGTAATTGTCTTGTAATGCTAGGTGGATGGTTTGAGTGTCTGTTGATGTACAATGGATCGTCATTGGGTTTCCTGTATGGTTTGTATTTTGCGTTGATCAGGTCGAAAGTAACAACTAAAAATTTTATAACGTTTATATTCACTTCGGCGGTGATTGTGTAGCTGTTTTCTAGTTTTGTCTAGTAAACGGGCGGATTTACTTTTTATAATAGCCAAACCATCATCTCTATAAAGGCCGATGTTTTCCTTGCCAAACCTCTTACCTAAGTGATTAAAAATGAAAAGACCTACCAGCTCACAAATTTCAGCGCCGTCGAAACTACCCATAGTGACGTCAAATAAACTGTTGCTTCCGTCTTTTTTTGTCCATAATTTGCCGTTGCCGAAAAGTAGAGATTTTCTTGCATGTTTTATTATTGAAATATCATTTTCGGTAATAGTAGTCAAATCCGAAGCCCAGGGCGATGCCCCATTCAAAAGTTTTTCGGAAATGGATGTGTAAAAATCCTAACCTGAAGTTCAGGCCCTAATCACAGAATAGGGCCTGACACAAAACCTATCTAAACTGTGGGATTCCCGTCCATTTTGTGGACGGGAAATCTGATTGGTTGATCAGCATCATGAAGGATTTTGATTGGTTGCAAGTTTACATAAACAACAGTTTTAAAAATAGCTCGGTCAAGGCGACAATAATATAAAGGTCAAACGCACGTAACAAATTCCATTATCGATTTCTTCGAATTTCTTTTCTTTTATGCTTTATGGCAGAAAATAAATCAAACAAACAGTATTTTGAAAGGGCTTTATCAAAATCTTGGAAGAATTTCGGACACACGACGCTGAAAGAACAGCCAAACTAGTCATGTATTCGAAAGCTTCTTGACCTTGTTGTTGACAGCCAAGATGTTCCGCCGGCAAAAGTCTTATTTTTAATATCAGGTCCTACCGGCGTTGTTTTCTGAGCTACATCGCCTTATTCGTGGTAAGATTGAGAACGAAATTCATTGTTGCTGTTGTTAGCCCGTTTTAATAGAGTATATCCCTAATATCCGCGTCCAGCAAGTTGAAACCTTGAGAAAGCTTGGCAGTCCGAAGCCGTGTACAGAACTGATTAATTAAATATTTGTTTGCTGTTCGGTTAAATAGAGAAACTGACTCTTAATTATATAAAAGTACCTTGAATTTTTAAGTTTAATTATAAAGCAAAATGCACACTCGGCGGACATGTTCATGAGAATATTTTTTTCTGTGAACGAAATCTACAACACTTGTCAATCATATTGCATGTTGTGTCTAAAAATAACATGTGGGCGTCCCACGGTCTAGACAGGTTTTGTGTCGGGCCCTATTTCAAATTAGGGCCTGAACTTCAGGTTATAAAAATCCACAATATCAAATGAAATAAAACTGTGCCTGTCTTTATCGTTTATATTGCCACACCATGAAATTACTTGTTTCGTATTTCTCCATTGATTTAATTAAATTTAGTTTTTGTCTCAAATTGGAATTGATTTTATCTAAAATAACTTTACTTAATTTTCCGGATTCGCTTTTTGCGGGATTAATTAGCCGGCATTTTGGATTGTTTTCGAAATTTTCTTTGTGATCTTTTCAAAATATAAATGCTTCGCGTTTTTTCATTCGTTCAATTCTGTCGCCACTTCCTAACCTACTCGAAATTTCTTTCAATTCGGAGTCAATTTCATGTATGAAGTCCTCTGATCCATGTTTGTACGTATTCGTGATGTTGTCATGTAAGAGTTCGTTGTATGTCTTCAGTGACGTTTCGTAAATGTTTCTAGTTTTGTCCGCGAAAACGAAAATGTTGGGGATGAATTAATTTTCTTAAAATCGTTAGCCAAAGATGTGTGAAATTGGTCTTTAGGACGCCGGAATTTTACGTTTTCAATTCGTTTTATCAAGTCGTCTTCGAAAGGTTTCAAAAGTGGAATTGAAGGAGGCGATTTGTTAGACGAAAGGCCGAAAAGGTTGCTTTGGTTTTGAGTCGTTGATCCTTTTAGGAAGAAATTAGCTTTCCATCTCATATGTTTTGTTACGCTTTCCACTTTTTCAATCAAATTCTTTAGGTAAGCATCCTGTGATGGTATAGGAATATTCTTTAGTGAATAATCGAATCGAAATTGTCGCATGGTTGAAGTAGAAATAAAATGAATAACGTAGACAAGAGTGCACAACCGATTACCGGGTGCAAATATAGCTTAAGATTTTGGTTTACGAAACACAAACAGTGCTCAATACCATATAGATAGAGCGTAATATAGTTTTTCGTTTTACCTCAAAAAACCACAACAGTCTGTTTCATCCGTATAGGAATGATCAGGTGGTGAATATGAATAATTTCGAAATTGTGGGTTGCTTTTATGCTACCGAAACAATGCATGGGTGAAACAATGCATGCTTGGGTCATTAGGTTTTGTTAACGACCTTGTTTACTCGAAACCGGTTTTTGTGACGACATTTGGCGAAAATTTTGCTTCTTTCATTGAGTAAATTGTGATTGTTTACATCTTTCAAAATGCAAAATTTTTCTTCGAAACATAAATTGCACTCACGAAAACGTACAAACATGGATCAGAGGACTTCATACATGAAATTGACTCCGAATTGAAAGAAATTTCGAGTAGGTTAGGAATTGGCGAAAGAATTGAACGAATGAAAAAACGCGTAACATTTATATCTTTAAAAGATCACAAAGAAAATTTCGAAAACAATCCAAAATGGAGACTAATTAATCCCGCAAAAAGCGAATCCGGAAAACTAAGTAAAGTTATTTTTGATAAAATCAATTCCAATTTGAGACAAAAACTAAATTCAAATCAATGGAGAAATACGCAACAAGTAATTTCATGGTTTGGCAATATAAACGATAAAGACAGGCACAGTTTTATTTCATTTGATATTGTGGATTTTTTCCCATCCATTCCCGAAAAACTTTTAAATGAAGCATTTGTCTGGGCTTCGGATTTGACTACTATTACCGAAAACGATATTTCAATCTCTACTTTTTGGCAACGGCAAATTATGGACAAAAAAAGACGGAAGCAGCAGTTTGTTTGACGTCACTATGGGTAGTTTCGACGGCGCTGAAATTTGTGAGCTGGTAGGCCTTTTCATTTTAAATCACTTAGGTAAGAGGTTTGGCAAGGAAAACATCGGCCTTTATAGAGATGATGGTTTGGCTATTATATAAAAAGCAAATCCGCCCGTTTACTAGACAAAACTAGAAAACAGCTACACAAAATATGAACGTTGTAAATTTTTTAGATGTTACTTTCGACCTGATCAACGCAAAATACAAACCATATAAGAAACCCAATGAGGATTCATTGTACATCAACAGACACTCAAACCATCCACCTAGCATTACAAGACAATTACCTACAGCTATCAAGAAACGCATTGCACTTCTCTCATCGGATGAACAAACATTTAAGGAATCTACACCTATTTACCAGAACGCTCTTAGACATAGTAACTTTGATCATGAATTTACGTACACTCAGGATGCACCGCAACGGACACGTAGGAATAGGCAACGCAACATAATTTGGTTCAACCCACCATGATTTAGTAGGAGTGTTAACACGAACATAGGACGGGAATTTTTAAGTTCAATTGACAAACACTTCCCACTACAGCACAGACTACACAAGATCTTTAACAGAAACACTTTAAAAGTAAGCTACAGTTGCATGAACAACGTTAAGTCTATAATCACCAAACACAACGCACGTATAATTAGGAACAGTCAATCACAGAATACTGAAACTAACAACTGTAACTGCGACAACAAAAACCCTTGCCCACTACCGAAACAATGTATGACCAACAACATTATTTACAAAGTCACAGTCACAACGAACAACACGAACGATACTAAACACTACATTGGTATGACAGCGGCTACATTTAAGGAACGTTACGCTAATCACACTTCATCTTTTCGTCATAAAAAAGACTCAAACAAAACGGAACTTTCGAAACATATTTGGAAATTAAAAGAAAGCAATCAGGATTATACCATCAAATGGTCAATTTTTAAACACGCTATTTCGTACACAGGGGGATCAAAACGCTGCAGTTTATGATTGGAAGAAAAATTTTGCATTTTGAAAGACATAAACAAAGACAATTTACTCAATAAAAGAAGCGAAGTTTTCGGGAAATGTCGTCACAAAAATCGATTTCGAGTAAACAAGGTTGTTAACAAAACCTAATGACCCAAGCATGCATTGTTTCACCTATGCATTGTTTCGCCTACACGCATTCCGCACATTCTTTCGATAGCATAAAAGCAACCCACAATTTCGAAATTATTCAATACCTGATGATTCCTATACGGATGGAACAGACTGTTGTGGTTTTTTGAGGTAAAACGAAAAACTATATTACGCTCTATCTATATGGTATTGAGCACTGTTTGTGTTTCGTAAAACAAAAACCTTAAGCTATTATATTATATTATATTATATTATATTATATTATATTATATTATATTATATTATATTATATTATATTATGTTATATTATATTATATTATATTATATTATATTATATTATATTGTATTGTATTGTATTGTATTGTATTGTATTGTATTGTATTGTATTGTATTGTATTATATTATATTATATTATATTGTATTGTATTGTATTGTATTGTATTGTATTGTATTGTATTGTATTGTATTGTATTGTATTGTATTGTATTGTATTGTATTGTATTGTATTGTATTGTATTGTATTGTATTGTATTGTATTGTATTGTATTGTATTGTATATCGTATATCGTATATCGTATATCGTATATCGTATATCGTATATCGTATATCGTATATCGTATATCGTATATCGTATATCGTATATCGTATATCGTATATCGTATATCGTATATCGTATATCGTATATCGTATATCGTATATCGTATATCGTATATCGTATATCGTATATCGTATATCGTATATCGTATA